ATAATAATAATAAATAATAATAATGACAATAATAGTAATAATAATATAGTATTAATAATGACAATAATTGTAATGATAATAATTTGAATCAATTGATTGTTTTTCAAAGCGAGAAAGTAATTTCCATAGACATAAAGAGTTCATCATTTGTGTGTGGGCTGTGATACTGCCCGGGTGCCCAAACCGAAGCAGGTGGTTATCTTAGGGGGCCACTCCCCGAGCCTTTGACCTAAAGGTCTAACCCACAAGGCAGTGGAGCATCGTAAGGAGATGCAGTCCCATGGTAGCCGGTGACCAACGATTGGTTCATACGCCATTTGTTCCCGCAGGATACTGGAGCCCATGTGCACCATTGGTTTGGAATCCGGTTAAAGCGCCGGACATTCGCTTTTCGTCCTCTCATTTTCGTAAACAACACCCCCGCCACGAGAAGGCAATGAGTAGGACTTCCCTGGCAGAGGCTGTATACGCGTGGCCGTGTGAGAGTATTTCGAGAGGGAGAGCGGACTCTCCCCACTCTCGGCCGTACCAGGGCATTCAGGGGTAAGATTTAATTTGATACGTCTGATCCAAAGAGGTTCTAAGTTGAGTTGTTGACATCTTTGGTAATAGTCTTTGTTATCGGAATACCCCAGAACAGCTTTGGTGAACTTTCTTTGAACACCTTCAATTCTAATCAGGTCATTATGTCTACAATTACTGTAAACTAAAATACCATATTCAAGAATGGGTAAGATACAGTTTCTGTATAGTAACAATCTCGATTCGATATTATTGAAGTTTATCATTATCAATCCGATGAGCTTTCTAGCTTTGGATACTTGAGATATAATGTGTTCAGAAAAGTTCAGACTATTGCTATATCTTAAACCCAGGTCACGAACAGTGTTGAGAGGTTTGAGTGTATGTGTCTGTACAGTCAGATTTAAGTTAAGACAGCGACCAATGTGAATAAATCCACTTTTGTCAACATTAAGTGGCATATTCCACGAAATAGTCCATTCGTACAACTTGTTTATTTCCTCTTGGATTACCGCTGAAATATAGCTTTCTTTCGTGGGAGAAGAGAATGAATAAACTACTTTCACATACTTACCATACTGAAAGAGGGAACACACATCATTGATAAAAAGGAGAAAGAGTAATGGACCAACCACACTTCCTTGTATAACCCCACTGGTTACATTCACAGGTTTAGAGTAGCAAGATCCAAAGCGAACGATTTGGCTACGTTCTTCTAAAAAAGATTTGAGCCAAGATAAAAGGGGATTCTGTATGCCAAATGAAGAGAGTTTTAAAAGAAGAAGTTTGTGTGAGACACTGTCGAAAGCCTTACTAAAATCGAAGTAAAGAATTATCACTGACTGACCAACATCTCTTTTCTGGGTAATTTGATCAAAAAACTCCAGGTGCGATGTGAAACATGAGCGTTTAGTCATAAACCCGTGTTGGGATGGGCTGATCAGACTAGCCGAAAGTAAAAATGATAGTAGCTGTTTGTGGATGATTTTTTCCATGGTTCTTGAGAGCACGGATGTCAAATTAATTGGCCTATAGTTAATAATATCACTACGTGGTCCTGTTTTGAATCTAGGGGTGATAAGGGATGTTTTCCATACAGATGGATAGGTCCCATATTCCATAGATAGATTGAAAAGTTTCAAACAAAATAGTGGAAATTCTCTACTTCCATATTTCACAAATGATGAAGGTATCCCGTCAGGTCCACCATCATAAGACTTTTTCAGGGCAGCTATGGCCTGCTTGATGTTGGAGGGTGTAAAATCAATTTTCGACAGATGTCTGGATGTCAGCATTGGAAATGTAATGATGGAGTTTTCAGTTCCAGTTTTGTAGCACTGCGAGAAGTGCTTGCTGAATTGTTCGCATATAGTATTCGGGTCGTTAACAATGCTTCCGTTAACTATGAAGAATTTAGTCGTGCCAAGGGAATTTGACTTTACACGGGATTTAAAAAGCCGAAGTATTGATAATTCTGGGCTTTTACTACGTAGAGCTTTATTTTCTATATTCATAAAATACTTACGTTTAGATGAAGCATTTCTGTTGATTAATTTAAGTATACTCTGAAGTGCATACACATCATTCTGCTCGTAGTAGCGGCATTTTAATTTCCTCAGCTTTCTTTTAAAAGTATTTTGGCCCCTATTAGCATTATAAGCCACACGGCCAATAACTGGAGCAGTGCAGTCAAGACAATATATCAGGTTGTGGTATAGATTGGAAAGCGCAATGTCAACATTATTTGTGGTAAAATAAGTTTCCCATGGTAAACATTGAATGAGAGTTCCAGTCCGTTTCCATGTTTGTTGATCAAAATGTCTGCTTTGGTACATCAATGAAGCTTTAGAGTTCAATTGTATGGCGTTTAAAGAGTGAATAATACTCAATACAACTCTATGGTCACTCATAAAAAACTCATGACTGGTATGTACTGAGATAGAGTCTATGTTGATTGTGAACATTAAATCAAGTGTATTATTCCCCCTGGTTGGTTTTCGGACCTGTTGAACCCATCCACAAATTTCTAATGTTTCAACTAGCTTGTTATATCGACCTGGTACCGGAGTCAAGCCCCATTTAATTTTTGGCAGGTTAAAATCGCCTCCGATGATTTTAAAAGTATGCGGTTGGTGCGAAGCAATGGAAAATATGTTTGTTAGTAATTTGTCAAACTTAGTATCCGCATGAGGTGGTCTATATATGCATCCCACAAGTAAATAATTTTGGGATCCACAGTTTACAGTAACCCAAGTGGAGTCGTCTATAGCATCAAGGGATTTATCCTCAAATTTGCACGCTTGAATGTCTGAACGGACATAGATAATTGTACCGCCTCCTATTCCATAACATCTATCGGTTCTAAAGAAAACGTAGTTATCTACATTCAAGGAATGATCGGATATAGATGAATTACACCACGTTTCCGTAATAAGTACAATGGTTGGATTTACAAGGAATAAAAGAGTTTTAAGATGAATAATTTTATTAGACAGAGAGCGGGCATTGAACGAAAGAATAAGAAACTCAGAGTCATCATAGTGAAGCAGGTTAGAGTATAAATCGCAATTGGTAGTTCCATGAATACTCATAGGATTAGCTAAGGTAAGAGTCGTGTTGCGAGGGGAAATAGATTCAACCACTTTGTCATCATGTGAAATATGTTTACCGTTGCCGGCAGGAAAGCCGGCGGAATTACAAAAAAAAGTTTTCTCATTGCTATTGGATATAACATCTGATAAGGGCATACTGTACATATTGGGAGCCGGACCAAGAAGGCTATCAGGTCTATGGTTGTGACCAAGTGGCCAATTACAATTCAGATAACTATTTATACCTGACGTATGGGTAACGTGTTTAAGACGTTTATTTCCAAGGTTTGTGGTTGATTTCGGCTTCTTCATAAGTTGGAGAGGATTGTGTACTGTTAAACATACTTGCGATGGTTTGCGAGGTTCGAATATATCAACGTTAAGTGCGTGGTCAGTTATATGAATGTTATGATTAGTTTTCCTGTTATCCGTTGCACAGTTACTGTAACTGGGTGTTGCACTAACAGGGGTTTGGATTGTGTTATCCCATTCTTCATCAGCACAACTACTTCGGGTTGAATCTAAGTCAACATTCTTAAGAGGATGGACACCACCTACATCGGGATTACTTTCTTCTGGGTTTTGAACTTTATGAGATTCAGAAGAGTTTTTCGGTGGCGGCAAAGTTGTTAAGCTAGACGTCCTCTTAGAATCGGACTTAACTTTACAACCATTAGGATTATGATGCGTTTGAGAGTTTGACGCTGATGGTCTGTAGTTATCTCTTCCTGCTTTTCGCTGGCATGGTGTTTTATCCGGAAGAGTCTTAATATCCTTGAAAATCTGTTTTTGTCTCAATGAATTGGAGGAATTTAAAAATTCACTGGCGTCTACAGATGAGTTGAATTTGAACAAGATCGGTGAGTGCATACCAGGATGACTTCTTTTTAATCTTGTGCATACACATGGTACGTGTGTCATATTGCTGGCTCTAAGCAGACTAGATTTGATATTTTTAAGGGCATGTGTATCCGGTATATTAAACACAATTGCATTGCTAGATCGTCTTATTCTTTCAAATACCTCTGATGCAACACGATCTAGGAAAATATTTATGTCATTCATTTGATCTGGAGTCTCTGTGAGGTTGGGGTTGATGAGATATTTAAGCGGATTGAGAATGTTCATGTCTACTTGCAACTTTTTTATAGCATCCATATGGTTGCAGTTGCGATTATCATCACTGTTTACCATCAGAGTTTTCAACATGTCTGGAATGGAGACAACTGGTAAAAGCTTGTCTGCTTCCGGATGAACGGAGTGGCTCGTCTCGTTGAAACTGTTGGAAATCGTGTCAGTAGTGGTGTTAAATTGTGTCGTTTTCCTACGTTTGGCTGAACGCCTAGGAGCAGGGGTCTTCATTTTCTTTTGTGGCATGATAAGAAAGTGACGTATAGCAAGTGGATTGAACAGAATGTTGGAAATAGGGGTGAAAAAATCAATTCCGAGGGCTCAAGTTAGTCTAAAAATCAAAATCTATGTTTTAACCAAGAGTGAATGTATCGTGAGGATTAGTGGTGTTAAAAAACAGATGACAATGGCAGGAAGATAGTAGTGGAGATGAAGTATTTATGTCAGTATCTGTGTGGAGGCAAAATAGAATATAAAGGAGCAAGTTGTATAAATTTTAACATATATGACACGAAAGATAGCCTTATATAGTAAAGTAATTTAGAAATGTCGATAATTAGTATCAAACAATCAAAAAAGTACGGTACGTGATACATATATAAACTGAAAGTCCGTATTAGTAAAAATTGGGAGGTGCAGAGACAAGTAGTTTAGAAGATTATTACCGTCTAAGATTATTATGTTTCTTCTTGAACAAATATATGAAACACCTTTTTGGAAAAAAAATACTGTCAAAAAAAACTATGACAGACTTACCGAATTGGACAGATAGCTACGGAAATTAAATGATTTATAGTATCCAAATACGATTTAAATGATAGTTCATAAAATAGTGAATACAGTCCTTTAACATACACGGTTGTATATATTTCTTGATATTAGGTAGAGGTTTGAATAGATCCTGTAGATACATAAAGTACGTGGGTTAAAGTATTCAAATACGATATAACCATATATTCCTTAAGAAATAGAATACAGATATGAAATACGAATCTTCGTCAAATATGATTATATATGGTTTCAAAGTGACAGAGTATAGATTGATTGTATAATCAAAATGAATATATGTAATTATATAAATATGAATTATTGTATGAATATGATCATAAATACGATAAGGTAAACTCAGATCTTATCACATGGCATGAAATTCACAGTTTATATGTTAATAGTTAAGAATTGAGTTATCTTCCATAATTCCAAGAAAATATAATCCATCCAGCTCAGCGAGAATCCTAGAAAAATAAAACTAAAGGCCTCAGCCTGAAAGTAACGTCCAGTCCGTAGCGCGCGCGGGAATTGTAGGAGTGTTCACCCTTGTAACAAATAATAATAATAATTCATTCTCAAATAACAGTTTGTTACATGAGGCATGCCAGTTTACAGGCAAGATCATATTGTTACAAATGATACAATATCCACTGTAGTAAATTACTCATCTGGGTTGATAATTTATAAGATATGAATGTAGATGGTTTTAGTCAGTATCACAGTTAACGTGCTTCATGAAAGTTGCGTGGCGAATGTGCAACTGATGGTCAAGGATAGGTCCACTGAAGGTGGGAGCTTCTAGAAATCGCAACCTTATGTCCCTTTGGAATATCTAAGGCTTTAACGATGGTGCATGATGAAGTCACCCGTTCCATATACCAAGGGACTGAAAGAGAGAACAAGTAAAAGAAAGGACGAGAGGCAGAGTAGCCAATATTCACGAAGGAATGTTTAAGATATGATTACTCAGTCTAATTTTCTTTTATTAAGGTATTTGTTAAGTAAGAGCATTCCAATAGGTTAAAGAAAATAAGTGTAAACAAGGTATGAGTGGACATACAACTGACAAATGGAGGCGTATCAGAAAGGAGTTTAGAGTATGGGATTATGTGTGGTTATAAAATATAGTGCTAAAAACAGTATTGTGATATACAATTGGCTATCTTTCCTTTTTTATCAAAGCTATTAGAGCCCTTCTCATTTTTTTTGTATTATTATTTTTTTTAGGTATCATAGGGTCTTGAGTAGGCTTCGTTTATAAGCGAATTGTCCAGTTTGCTTGTAATAGGATTACTTGGTGGGAAGTGAAACCAATTCAACGTTCCTAACACGATTTAGAGAGGTATTTTGCGTGATAAATCAGCATCAATACCATAAGTTCGTGACATCCCACTAAACCATGAGAAGCCGTAATTAAACAAAATGTTCTGCCCTACAGACATGGGTGGATTGAAGTTGTCTCCCCACCATCATGTTTGCTGGTCAGTGATGTTAGGCTCTCTTACGTTTATGGTAAGTATGAATACTGCTTTAATCAAAGCCCATAGTTGGAATACACTGTCTCTACCAGGTTCATGTTACAAGCAAATCAGATAGTTAAAAAGTTTGTTTTATGGGCTAAATGCCCACATAGTATATCACACTACTATAAAGATAACTAGCGGTTTAAAGAAGTAAGGACTAATAGCAAATCAAAGGACATGAGAGGGTATAATAATGTAGGAAAAGAAGAAAAAGAGTTTAGGGTAAGAAAAATAAAACATTGAGAAACTCACAAGACTTTGTGGCCAAATTTTGAGCTTTGTATGATCGGCCTTAGTAGATCAGCATCCATAAGATTAATGAGTTATCTGTCTACTTACAATAGAAAAAAAGCATGATTTTTAGGAAGAATAATGTACATTTAACCTGTAGAGAGATTTGGGAACTGAAAGTGAGGGTTAGGAGCATGAAGTCATGATTAATAAACAATGAATAATAGGAAAAGATAAGCCATATATTCTGTGATTCGGTTACATCCATATTAGTAAAAGTCGGGCTCGTTATATTCTTGTTCTGCCTAGATGCTGGACGGTCCGTAATAAAGTGCCTCATTGGTGGGCGGGAGTTCAAGGAAGTGTTGAAGTTCTTTAGAGTCTAGAAATAGGGTTATTAGCTTTTTGAATCTGGTAAACGTATCACAGTTACGGATAGGCATTGGCAGCCTGTTCCACAATAAACTATACCTTACTGTAAAAAACTTACAGAGCATTTGTTTTTGGTGCTTTACGGTAAGTAGTGTATATGCGTTGTTTCTAAGTCTGTAGGCTGGGTCGTGGGTCATAGTCGGGCAGGAAATTAGAAAGGAGAGCCCATATATCGCTTTGTAGAGAAATATTAAATTGTTCTTTAGCCTACGGTGCCATAAAGGTTCTAAAGAGAGGCGCTTACATCTATCTGTGTAATCGAGATTCGAGTTACATCCTAGGAGTTGGCGTGTCAAACGTCACATACATTGTTCTATCCCTAGCTCATATGTGTCCTTTAGAAATGTTAAACAACGTATTGCCGATTGTCACTATAGGCCGAGTCAGTGTATACATTAACGTGACTTCAACAAAGAATCTTATAGCTTGGGTAACCGCGTCAGGCTCTTTGCTGACTGGTTTGATAACCTCAGGGCTAGATTACACGGTTAATTCTCTAGTTGATCCTCCTACAAGATCTGGGGTATCCAACATCATTGACGGTGACGCCCGATCCTTTTTAAATCTGCTGACTGGGTCCAGTTGCCAACAGAATTTTTAGGGACTACATCTGCAGTTATGGGGCCCGTGCTGGTGGACGCAAGCTTGTTGAGAGAGTCTAAAACCACCAATTTTATGTTGATGCTGAATCTCATCATATCCTTATCTGTGCCGATACGTGCCCCATCAATACTATACCTTTTTGTTCGTTTGTCCGTTTCTGGACTGCCATTTACCAGAGTTCCTGACACGTTTTTCCACAAATTTGTCAAGAGAATGAAGATGTTGCTCAGCAAATTTTCAGCGTCCTTTTTGCATGTACCACTTATTTATTTTGTGGTGAGCAGTTACTGCAAGAGCTGGGCATACTTCGTGAAACCAGCCTATACATTCGTTCCATTACGTACTGACAGCAAAACCCTACCAAGGGGCTTACGTGATTTATTCATGACCATGGTGAAATATGATTTGTTAGATAGATGCTAGCAAAAGTTTACCATCGTAAAATAAAAAAACAATACACCAAAAATGGGTAAAAACGGATAAAGTGAGTGTTACAAAGAGTCAGGATATGCTAAAACTAGCCCAGGTATTAAAAGCTATAAAGACGGAACAGTAACCTAAGGCAAAATCTTAGTTAATTATTACGTTGGGTGAAACTCAAAAAGAAAGGTAATCTGCTAAACGTTAGGCTCAGGACGAATTCTTTGAATGAAATATAGTATTCTTGTTGCATAAGCACACGGAAAAAGTTTGAGAAGTGTAAATCGCGCTGAGACTAAACTTCCAGTTCGTAAATGCACACGTTTTTCGGCCTAATAGTTTGCTCTGATGATGTCATTTTGATTGTACAGGATACAAGTATCTGCGAGGAAACCGTAACCTTGTAGCATCATCGATTCAAACCATACGACCCTCAACGCTGAACATAAATTGACCGAAACAATTCATATTCAACATTTAACGAGGAGGGAAGATTAGTATTGGTGAATGCGGGGAGGATTTATCGAAATGACATTGCTCGGCAATCCAAGGTTCAGATGATTCAAATAGTTGCGGACAGAATAGAAGAAGCCTTCGCCTAACGGGCTTCCGTGTCTAGTAGAAGTAGACCACCAATAACTCCATGCAGGAACCTAGGTATATCAACGATAATAGAGGAAGAAAGAAATTGGTAAATCATGGTAAGATATTATCTTTGGTCCTTAAGAATAGGTCAAGTTGCCTCTTAAAGGACTCATGGGAAGTCGTTTGCACTAGCTCAGCCGGCAGCGAGCTCCAGCATTTGACAACTCTTAAGAAGTAGAAGTTGTGACTACAGTCCGTTCTCCTGTGTTGCGTCTTTAGTTTATGGGCGTTACCCCCTAGGTTTGTGCTGGAGCTAAACTTAGGAAGGTGTTTAAGGGGATGTCCAGAAGTGTTAAGGATATTGTAAGTCATTAGAAGGTCAACTCTAAGACGCCTGTACTCTAGTGGGTAAGGGTTTAGTGATTGGAGGCTCTCTAAATAAGCCTTGGATTTGAGTCCTCGAACTGATTTCGTGGCTCGCCTTTGGATACGCTCTAGAATGTCCTTATTCTTTTGGAGTGAGGTGGGAAATATTATGTTTCCGTACTCTAAATGGGGATGGATAAAACTGTTAAAGATTATGTGGAAAGTTTTTCTGTCAAAACTGGCCGAAAATGCGTTTCAATGTTACCAGTGCAAGGTTTGCTCGCAAGGCATTTTTGTCACAGTTAGCGTAAGTCTTCAAATAGTAGAGTACCAGCACTCATAAATCTTTTTCAACTTGGGATACTTCTAGCGAGGAGTTTCTTAAGTTGTAAATGTAGACTGCAACATGTTTCAGATAGACTAATTTACAGTTTGAAGTGTTAAAGGTAAGTCCGTTGTCATCTGACCAACTTTGAAGTCAAGTCAGATCCTACTGAAGTGCCAGTATATCCTCTTGGTTGCGTATCTCTCTCCAGCGTTTCACATCATCGGCAAAAAGTAATAACTCAAATGAGATCTGTTGTGGAAGATCGTTTATATAAATCAAGAAGAGAGGAGGCCCTGGTACCGAACCTTGGGGGACCCCACTAGGACATTCCATAGCCTGAGAGAAAGTGAAGTTAGCCCTGACCTTAAAATGTCGATTTTTTAGATATGAAGTGAGCCAATCAATCAGCGGTGATTTGATCCCAATTGTTTGAGTTTATTGGTAAGACATATGTGGTTGTCTGACAGAGATGTGAAGTGAATGAATACAGCCTTATTTCATTATATAGTGCTTGTAGGGTCGATGAAATAATCTGAGGGTCAGATCGCTGAATATGGACAGGTCACCTATCGTCGTCAAGACAAAGGACAACCATAGCTGATCAATCAACTGCATGCCGTAGACTCACCTGTGCGATGGTGTTCGAACTCTGTGACGTGTACTTACCTTCACTAACATATTTCTATAGTAATGTAGTTCGTGTTGTACGGTCACCAAAGTAGCCATAGTACCCAAATTTGGCAAAAGAGAAACCCACGTCAGGTACTAATCGTGAAGTGTGAATTCAACGTTAGCTAGTTGATCAAGCCACTTCCGTTTTACTAGAGCGAGCCCCAATCATTCGACAAACATCACCTACGACGGTGACCAACGTACTTCTCCCATGACCTGGTCAGTGAAATCGAACACAAATGATATTTCAAGTGGAAGTTCTCCTACTGAGTGTGGATGATGAGCGGCTTAGGATCGTATTTCGCTAGCTAAAAGGAATATATCTGCGCAAGAGAACACCATTCATGCGATTTTTACCCATTAG